CGGACGTATGGGCGGACCAGTTTGTGCCGTACGGCCTGATTCCTTCTGCGTTGTGAAATTAGCCCGCCCCGAGGATCCGGGAACTGGGCTTTTTTAATCTAGCCGGGGCCCCGGAGCGGCAGGCTGCTGCGAGGGTGATCTCGCTTCCCTTCCTCCGAGGGGAGAAGCTCATTAGCCGTTTGCAAGGTGCATCGGGTCAGATGTGGTGGAGGGCTAAGCCGCGCGGTCTGGGGAAGATAACTCCGGGCGCTAATGGCCTCTCCCTCACTTCGCTGTTCGCACATAATGCGGCATTGTTAGGAGTTACTCATTCACCAAGCGGGCACGGGTCTCTTCAGCCCACGAGAGCAAGGTCCGCACGGCAGCGGCTCGGAAACCGCACGGGTGAGAGGAGCGGAGCCTGCGCAGACGGCAGTGAGCCTCGAGGGCACGTTTCACCTCACCCCAGGCGCAAGAAACGCTTTGGTGGTGTCGATCTAGAAGAGACACTTGCCCACCTTGGTGCTCTGGGCGGGTGGGATCTCGGAGAGGGAGGTGGGAGGATTTTATGACTCTCACATTGGTTATTTAAAAGAGAAGAAACCACCACCACGTTCCGAGCTGCAAAATAGGGCTTGTGTGGCATCATAGTGAAACTGCAGATCCTTAACCACACCGGGGAGCAAATGGCACTGAAACAAAGTTGAGCATGAGAGAAAATAAGTCCTGACGCTCCTGCTATCATCAAGCAGACACCCGTGAAGACTTCCTTTTCCTACTGGATCCCACCGGCTGCGGCCACCTGCAGAACCTGCAGTCCTGGTTGTGCAGGAAGTTGTTCCTGACGAGTGATCAGTGATAAAAGTTAATTTTTATTTCGAGGCTCTGTCCTTGAGGCTGCCTCCCGTATGGGGCTGTCCCACGACTGACCGCAGAGCTGTGGGGCCCGGCTGCCTGCCAACGCAGCCCGCGTCCGTCCGATCCGGCCAGCTGGAGCACGGGCAGCGACGAGGGGGTCCCGGCCGCGCTGCGTGCGCCCTGCTGCCGGTTCACCTCTGCCCGTGCCCGTGATGCCCAGGTGAAAGCTAACTCGTGCGCTGGAGTTGTACGTCCTTGCTGCGGGGTGTGCTTTGTGCGCTACGAAAGGCCTCAAGAGCCTGTCAGCCATACAGCGCTCCGATGCACGGAGCATCCTCGGGAGAGCGGGGCATGCCCAGCCTCTCGCCTGCTTAGCGAGCAGCCCCATCGCTTCGTCCCTTTCTCAGGGGCGCGTGCTGCAAGCACGGCGTCGCTGATGCCTCCCTGAACGGAGCTCGGGGATCTCTGTTTGCTCGCTAATCTCACCGGTGAAACGTTCAGGTGATGGGCGAGCGCGGCGGCAGCGGCCGGCCGGGTTCGTCACGCTGACGTAGCGCAGCGACTGTTCCAGCACACGCAGTGCCGCTGTAAGTCACAGGCGTGGCCCCGCTGCCAGCTGCACTTGCAGATGCTCACGTGTCGGCTTAAGGACAGCTGAACTCCCACGCAGGGCTTGGGAGCACCATAAGGAAGTAGGTGAATTCTTGGCATAGTCTTTCCTTCTCTAAATAAGGTGATTTCTTGGCACTGGCATCTCAAGGTCAGCGTTTTCTCAAGTGTGGCACGTCACGTTCAAGTGCAGGTGACAGTGCCTGGCATGCCCGTGATACGGATCTCGTTCCCTCGTGCTCATCTGTTCAGGGCTCGGCTGGTGAGCCGGGGCGTTCTGGGACGCGGTCTCTTCTTCTGGGTTTGCGCAGTGCCTGAGCATGCCGTTAATGGAAGCTATACGTTCACGGAAAGCTGCTCTGGCCTCTTCCAAGGAGCTCTTATCGCTTCCATTGCAAAGCACAAGCAAAACCAGAAACGGGGACAAAGAGAGCTGCTCAGCAAACCTGCTTTTGAGTCTGGTTCCCATTGCCCTTGGCGTCGGATAAGAGCTGTAGCCGTTCAGCGAGCGATAATAGCCCCAGACAAAGCCGCCTGGCTAGGATGTCACGGCAGCGCCGTTTCCAGGCAGAGGCATCCACCGCACGGGTCACGCACAGTGGCTCTGCGTACTCAAATTTACACCCTGAGAAGGGGGCAGGAAGAGTAACTGGCTCAGAGACTTATGCTGTTGGAGGAATATTGTCAGTTCTTTGCCGTGTCTTGCTGTTAAAAGCAGATGGTGTGAAACAGCAAAGATGTATGGTTTCAAAGGACGGAGAGAAGGTGACATTTTTCTCCCTCTCTCCTCCTGTTGAGGTGTGTTTTACTTCTCTTTTCTCTGGGTTAGCAGGGTATAGAAATCTGGTAGACACTTAACTTGCTTGTCGACAGCTGGAAAAACCTTTCCAAATTCCTGCGCGCTCAGTCTTGAGAGCAGTCACTTGCAGGTGGTTTATGGTGAAGGGGGTTGTAAGGACACAGGAGCTGCTCTGCTCTGGTGTCTGTACTCCTTGGGTCTGATTTTAGAGACTGGTGTTTTATGTGCCCGTGCTGCTTCCTTCAGTCCAGGCTGGGGAGGCGCTCCTCGAAGGGTGCCGTGGTCTGACCTCGGAGGTGTCCGTGTAGGTGCGCAGCGGAGGCCCTGGTCCCTCACCTTTCCTTCGTGAGGAAAGATAGCCAGGGGATGGAAGGATGGCCTTGTGACCCCACGAGTGTCTGTGATCGTGGACAAATCATTTGCCTCTCTCCTAGCTGTGGATGCAGAGGAGGAACCAGTTCTGCATAGGACCGAGGTGTGTTCAAGGCCCTGCGCAGCCGTCTCCCAGTGCCTGTGGTTTAGATATTGGTGTGATTGACTCGGTATTAACTGCTTGCTTATTTAGCCGCATGAGTAAACGTGTGTCTCTTTTGATTCCTTGCAGGGACTTCCTTCCCCGAGGCTCTGGAATTGTCACTCGGCGGCCTCTCATCCTTCAGCTCATCTTCTCCAAGACAGGTACGGTCTAGCTAGTCCAGCCAAGAGCAGCTGTCCAGCTCCCTGTTTGGAGGCGGCAGAGATTTGTTGCTGCGTTGAAAGTCTTGGCTGGCAAATACTGCTCCGTATACCCTCTAGACTGGAACTACTGCTGGCGTTTGGATGCTTGTCTGTGTTTGAGTCTCTTGCAGATTTGTCATTCAACGAGCTTATGAATGTTTAGGTAACAGTTCTGGTTCTTTTGAATGTTCCTAGAACAGGGTTTTGACTGCTGGAAAGCAAACGTGCTCTTCAGGATGAAAGCCACCCTGGAAGTGGCAAATGAGATAGGAGGCTTGTTTTCTGTAATTTGGCACTAATGCTGTCATTTCAGTGTACGTCTAATTGAGAGCATATGCCAGCAGTGTGGTTTGCTGGGTGGGAGCCCTCAGCGCTGAAGAGATTTGCCATAGCAGCGTGCTGCTTTCACTGCACATGTTATATCTCCCAAATGGCATTTTTTGAGGAACGTTTTGAATACGTGCTGTCCCTTACACTGCGAATTTATGGTCTGGTATGCAGGATACCTCTATAGATGATTCTGATGGTCCTTTCTTCCCCAAAATGTGTTAAATCCTGAGTCAGACTACAGTACCTTTTTAAAAAAAAACAACAACAAAAGTTAGCCCTCTTTAGATGCGTTGTATTAGCACAAAGGAGAGAAGGGGTATCTATGAAACCGCAGTGGAAATGGGAGAAGAGCATTAGCTGAAACACTGGTGCTTTTAAGTCCTTCCTTTTGTTCCCCTCCAGTAGAAAATTCCTGATCTCCTGAAGGTGTAATTATTCTGACTACAAGGGAGACTTGGTCTGTGCATAAACATTTATAGCTCTGACAGTTGCTAATAAAAGCATGCCTGGCTACTTACTTCCCTATTGCTCTGTGACTCAGTTCCGTTTTGCAGCGTGATATGGAACAGTTGTGAAATTGGCCTTTGCACTGGTTCACCTGCCTTCACACCCCACAAGCAGCACCAAGGAGCTGATAGCAAACCACAACAACAACCCACCTTAAAAACATCGGGAAACTGATCTCTGATGGCGATTTCTTTTATTACCTTTCTCTGAAGGAAACGTGTATGATTTGCTCAAGCGATCCTCTTCCTCAGAGGCTTGGGTGTCCTATTGCTTGTGCATCTGTGTGGGCAAATCAGTGCTGTTGCTCTGCTGTTCAAAACCACAGCTGAGTAGTCTGCGCAGTTGCTCTTTGCAGCCTCCTTTTACATTCATTCAGGGGGGCTGTTTTTTAAATAAGTTGTTGTTTCTAGTATCCAGAACCTGTGAAGAGATTGCAAAAGGACAGATGTAGCCCTCAAAGGATAAGATGTCAACAGGTGCTTAAACTGGTAGGAGTAGAAAGGTGACAGCAGGATTGGCATTTCCCCCCTCGTCCCACCCAGGCATTGGTGTTGTTCAAGAAAGGAAGTGAGTAGCACCACCCTTACAGACCTCCTCTCCCTGAGGCAAGCAGTGGTCACAAATCTATTAAAATCCTTTCAGAGGGGCAGATTTGGAACTGTTTCAAATAGCTAAGGAGTGTTTGTCCAGCCGATGGTAGAGGAAGCACTGTATCTCTTATCCCTCACCTCTCTGCCGAGTTTTCCAAGTCCCCTCAAAGCTTCTCTTGAACTAGCAGGTCACGAGACCCTTTCAGAAAATCTCAGATAGCTAATAGCGTCCTGTCAGACTGGGAAACCAAGCTGTACTGCGACGTCCTTTACTTCCCACTCATGAGGGCAGCACCGTTGGCCTGCAAATCAACAGGCCTGAAGAGAAAAATGAAGTAGATGCTGCAGCCTCTCCTGACAAAAGGGCTGATTCAGTTGAAAATCAGATGTGAAGGCCTTGAATCAGCTCTGTTATTTTGAGCGTAAATGCTTTCCTTGGCTTCTGGTACAGGTTGGATCCAGGCCCTTCGGCACCTTGCAGAAACCATTGTGAGCAGATGGGTGATTCAGAGAGACAGGGCTCCCTGCTCAGGCTTCCCTGACTTGTAGCGCGGCCCAGAAGCAGCAGCTGCTTTTCAGACCGGTTCTGTTCCAAGGCATCTTCTCGCCGAAGAGCCCGGGCTGAGTTAATGTTTATCTCCTGGCACAGTTGCTTGGGCTTGGAGGGGAATTACTGAGTGCCTGGGGTCAGACCCCTCTCTGCACAGCTAGTGCCTGCAGCTCTGCTGGGCTTGTTGGCTCCAGGGCAGAGTGAAATGGAGTGATAAATCTTGGGAGTAAATGAGTAAATAAAGCAGAGCTGTCGGCACAGGTGGAGGGGAGCTGTAGTTCCTTATTGGCAGGGGGCTGGGGAGAGACTCCTCTCCGACGGGGCGGTCGTGCCCCGGTCACGCCTCAGAGAGGGGACGATGTGAGGCCGAGAGCCCAGGTCTCCAGCACCTGCATGTCTCTGAGAGCCAGCTGGAGCCCTGCTGCCAGCACAACGGTGCTGCCAGTGCCGGGGGGTTGCTGCTCTGCCTCCCAGGCACACCAGCACTCAGAGCATCTTGGCAGCTGAAGACTCGGACCTTTCTTCAGCATTCGGAGTCCCAGCAATAAAACATTTAAAAGCAATCAGCAGGGACTGAAAGGCAAACAGGCCTGGATGAAAACAAACACAGCCATTCTGATGTTGAGGTTCACTAGCTGGAGCCAGCATAGGCTGGTTGCCAGCATCTCACCCGAGGGCAGTTTCTTTTTGGCAAGGAAAGTGTGACTTGAAGTCCACATCAAAGCAGCTGCTGCCAGTGCAGAGGCAGCAGGCAAAGTGTCAGCTTGCTCAGCCTGAGTCTGCTGGCCTCCATTGTCCCGTTCTTCCCTCCTCAGCCAGAGGAAGCTGCTAGGCCAAGTTTGTTTGGGGCTGCTGCCAGTCAGGAGGCTGAACAGGACCAGGTTAATCTCTGGGCAAGCCCATGGTGCCTCTCTGGGGCACTGTTTCTGCGTGGCTGCTGGGGCAGGTTCTAGCTGGCTGGTCTGGTGTTGCACAGGAATGAATGTCTGGCTCTGCTTCATGGTGTAGAGAATTCTAAAAACAGTTGACTCTTGGCATGTGTCTTACTGGGCTGGGCTTGAGATAGGAGCCAAATTCTCTATTCAGTTTGTGTGTGTGTGTGTGTTTGGGGGGGGTTATGTCTTCCAGAATATGCTGAGTTTTTGCACTGCAAATCCAAAAAGTTCACGGATTTTGACGAGGTGCGGCAAGAGATCGAAGCAGAAACGGACAGAGTCACAGGCACAAACAAAGGCATCTCTCCTGTCCCCATCAACCTTCGTGTCTATTCGCCACACGGTGAGTGAGGTGTTTTTCTGCCCTAGGGCTCCGCATACCAGCTGTAGTATTTGTTAATATACTTAGTGAAAAAAGAAAAGCTGGCATTTGCATGCGTAACAGCTACGGGTTTTACCCTGGTCCGCGTCCTAACATGCAAAAAGTGTCCCCAGGCTGATGTAAGATAGGCTAGATGCACGTAATGGCCGTGTGGCCACCACCTGAGCAAATACAGCAGTAACTCTTCCTTCAGAGGGACTTGTAAGGGCTACAGAGGCATGGATCCACGAGCAGATCTGAAGAGAGTCAACTGCAGGACCGACAGCTGTAATTCCCTTTGCTCCCAGCTCCAGACCTCTGACCCCAAACACATGTGGTCTCTGTCCTTTCAGTGTTGAACCTGACTCTGATTGACCTCCCGGGTATCACCAAAGTGCCAGTGGGGGACCAACCACAAGATATTGAGTACCAGATCAAAGACATGATCATGCAGTTCATCAGTAGGGAGAGCAGCTTGATCCTTGCTGTGACGCCAGCCAACATGGATCTGGCCAACTCAGATGCGCTCAAGATGGCAAAAGAAGTCGATCCTCAAGGTAAGACAGACACATCCTCCTGCCTGTCTCTGTCCGCTCTGAGCCCTGCAGCAGCGTGGTGGCTCCTGGGTTTGAGTGGCCCAGGTATCGAGTCATAAAATCTTCAACTGCTGTCACAAGAGAGTGTCAGAAACCAGTTGCACCATTTTGGAACCAAAGGGGGTTCTCCTCTCTCCTTCTCTCGTGGAGGACTCTTGGTCCTCTGATGGTTGAGAAAGTGTCGACAGTTCCAGTCCTCGCTGGCGAGTTCATACTCATTTTGGTTACACACCTGCATGCCTCTCTTCGATGTATTCTGTGAAATAAAATTGATTGTTTGCTTGTTTATGTGGCTGCCTCAGGCTTGCGGACGATTGGAGTGATCACCAAGTTAGATCTGATGGATGAAGGCACAGATGCCAGAGATGTGCTGGAGAACAAGCTGCTTCCTTTACGAAGAGGTATAACGAACTTTGAAGGCTTTGTGTCACCCTGTATCCTCCCTCCCCACGGCCTTGCTGCACCCTCGTCTTTCAGGCAGAGAGGGTGGTGTTTCAGAGCGAGTCGAAGGGCAACTCCTGGGCAGTCTGTTGTCTCTGAACGAGGTCTGCTGGGGAGCCCAGTCCCTTCTTGCTGAAGATGTTGCCCTCTGCTTGAGGAAAGCCAAGTCGCTATGGATTGCAATGCAGAGAATCGCAGAGCCCTGCTCAGACAGCTCTTGGCTGGGTCTGTTCGTAGCAAGAGCCAATGTGTCCTGTTGCAGGCTACATCGGTGTCGTTAACCGGAGCCAGAAGGACATTGATGGTAAGAAGGACATTAGGGCGGCGCTGGCAGCGGAGCGGAAGTTCTTCCTTTCTCACCCGGCTTACAGACACATGGCAGACCGGATGGGCACCCCACATTTGCAGAAGGTCCTTAACCAGGTAGGCCGAACTGCAGGCACTGTGTCAAGGCGCTGCACTTGGTTCGCTGGCGGTTTAGTGTTGCACTAGAGGGAGAGCTTTTCTGGACTGCTGTAGCAGCCCCTGCCATGGGCGAGTTTCTGCTTCTCTCATATTTGTGGAGAGAAAAAGCTGCTCTTCCTGAATGTTTGTTGCTGGTAGTGTTTATCGCTGATGCTGATGGGAGAGGGGAATTCCTGCAGTCAGTCTGCAGGCAGGTGGACTGCTGCGCTCACTTTCCCAATTCTTCTGTAGCAACTGACCAACCACATTCGGGAGACACTGCCTTCACTGCGCAGCAAGCTTCAGAGTCAGCTGCTGTCCCTGGAGAAGGAAGTTGAGGAGTACAAGAATTTCCGCCCTGATGATCCCACGCGAAAAACCAAAGCTTTGTTACAGTAGGTCTCTCCCACTCGCTGCTTCATTCCTGGTACCTCACCTGGCAAAGGAGACTTAAAGCTGCTGGCACAGAGCTTCAAAGTTACTTTGATCTTCCTGAAAGGCTCATTGGTCTCAGCTAGTGGCTCCTTCCAAGGAGATGCCCAATGCCCAGAATAATCCTGTCATTAGGAACGAGTGGTGCTAGTGGAAGGCCTTGCCAATTCTAACAGCACTAAGCTGGCACCTAGAAGAGATTCTGTGCCCTCCAGCACCAATCTGACAGGCTGCTGGGAAGGACAAGGAAAGCCTGTCCCAGAAATGCCTGGTGAGCTTCTCTGCAGGCAAGAATTAGTGACTCATGCTTACTGAGCTGTGTGTGCATAACCTGCTTGTTTTAAGGCAAACAGACTGCACATTTGGTCTCAGGTTAAAAAAGGTGGCTTGTGTCCCTCCTTGGCCTGCCTGTGTGCTCTTTGGACTACAGCAAAAGGGAGATTCTGCTTCTGTGACTTCCGCAGAGGGAATTTGGATAATTTTTACATGGTCCTGACAAGCTGAAGCCCGACGTGGCTGAACTGGTGGCATGTTGCTGACTGTAGTAGACAGCCTGGATGGCTGTCCATTTTGTCATCTGTTGTAATCAGCTGCTACCCGTTTAATCCTGCTGCTTCTCCACAGAATGGTCCAGCAGTTTGGTGTAGACTTTGAGAAGCGGATTGAAGGTTCAGGAGACCAGGTGGACACACTGGAACTCTCCGGGGGTGCCCGAATCAATCGCATTTTCCATGAGAGGTTTCCTTTTGAGCTAGTCAAGGTAAAGCTGGCCTGGGGACATGTGTTGCGTTTGGTAGGCTCTCTGTCTCCGCACAAAGCAGAATGTGATTGGTTTCCCACCTGCTGTGATTAGAAGGGGCATCTTTGCTGTATGTGCTTATTTCCTAAACCAGCAGAAGTTCCCGACCTGACCCCAGGGATGAGCTGAAGTCCCTCTCGCCCAGCCGTGCACTGTGACGTGCAGGCGGAGCTGAAGCCTTTCCCTTCTCCGCCTTCAGAGGTGCTTGCAGAAGGAAGAGATGAGCATCAGTTCTCTGTTTTAGTAGACAAAGCAGACTGTCGTTTCTGGGTGGTGACACCCGATCTCTAGCTTAAGCACTGGGCCTGCAAGAAGGGTGTTTTAGAGCAGGGAGCAGAATGCCAAAACGGGAACTTGTCTGCCTATGGAGTACTAGCAAGATATGTCAGAATTTGAGATGATTAAACCACAGACGTAGGGAGTGAGCCAATCTCTCTGGGACAGAGAGCAGCCCCTCTTAACCGGACTGTAAAGTGCCTAATGGGCTGATGGCGGTAACTGTTTCAGACCGGCATCTGTCTGCCTCGTGATGGTGTAAGAGCATGGCTGAAGTGGGAGCCTGATAGCACACCTACGTTGTTATTAGAAGTTGCTTGCTGTAAAATCTGATTGTGGCTTTCTTCCCTGTTTAGATGGAGTTTGACGAGAAGGATTTGAGACGAGAAATAAGCTATGCAATTAAAAACATCCATGGTGTGAGGCAAGTATCGGAGCAGTGCAGCAGCAGATCCTGTTTTCCTTAGGGTAGATCAGTAAGCCAGATCCACGTGGTACGTGTGATCGGAATATTCCTGCCGAGCGAGAGACGATCTGTGTTACTGTCAGTTCATTGTCCAGTGTCTTGTGGAGACCAGCGTTTGCTGAGAACGGAAGTTCCTTGCTGGACCCTTTTAGAGGGGATTAAAGGGGTAACTTAACCATCCTGCTGATTTTGCTTTGTGTAGTCTCCCCCCATGTCGCTTCAGTGTTGCGTTTGCAGCCTCAGTTAGCAGAGGCAGACGAGCCCTGCTCCTGTAGGACCCAGAGACAGCTGGAACGCAGTTGCTGCTTAGTGCTGATCTGAAAAGGTTCCCCTTGTGCCGTCAGTTCAGACACTAAGATAGTCCTTCTCTTGCCTCTTTAATTCCCTCAAGTGGGGGAAGAAATGACCTAGAGAGAAACTTAGGGAACATGAGTTAAAATCCCCAGCTAAAAGAATAAGGATCCAGGCTCTGGCTGTAGGTGCGTGCACTCGGACCAGAGTTGTCTCATCTGGAAATAGCGCATCTTATGTGGAAGCTGCTCAGCCCGTACAGTGCACAACCGTTGCATGCCTGGGGCCTGACAGCCCTGAATTAGGGACGTGGGAGAGGATTTGCATTAGATATGAGTCCTCTCCTCAGCATGCCTGCTCTCCTTTGGCCTGATGTCATGATGGGGAAAGAGAAATCTAGTGTTTCTTTTCTTTGCCTGTATGCTCTCCCCAGGAGTCACTTGACCTGCTCTCGGTGTATCCCTTTTCCCTCAATGCTGCAGAAAAGGCTGCTTCCCATCTGCTTACGGTGTCAGTGCACCTGGTACTTTGGGCTCTTGCTCCTGTTCATGGAGGGAGCAGCACCCTAATTTGAGGTGTTCCCACCCCGCGGCTGGAGAGAGCAGGGCACACAGCGGTGAAAGGGGCAGGTGGAAGTGTCAGCCCCCGTCCCCTCTGCCGTACTGTGGAAGCCCCAGCCGAGGGTGGTGGAGCAGCGGGGTTCAGCAACACCATGGATCCAAGAACGGGACGGTACCAGCAGCAGGAGCTGTCCCAGCTCGCGGCCTGCCTGTCCGGGGAGGGAGTTGCTCTCCAGGGTGGTGCTGCTGCTCTCTCGTCGGGATGCAGCCGATCGCCTCTAAACCTGATCACCCATTTTGTTTTTTTCTCTGCCATGTGTCTGCCCTCTCGCCCCGCGTGTGGACTCCTGTAGGACGGGGCTCTTCACCCCAGACTTGGCATTCGAGGCCATTGTGAAAAAGCAGGTGGTGAAGCTGAAAGAGCCTTGTCTGAAGTGTGTCGACCTCGTTATTCAGGAGTTAATCAATACAGTTAGACAGTGTACCAGTAAGGTATTGAACTGGCTGGGGGCAATCCAGCCCCTTCCTACCCGTGGGATGGGGAGTGATGCTCTAACCTGCCTGCCTTGCCTGGTTTTCCCCTCCAAAAAAAGAAACAAAATCTGGGAGCCCCCTAAGCAAACTGGGTATTTCTGAGCTTTGACTGATGCATCTCCTAACCTGGAGTGCCCTTCAGCTGAGAGGCTCTTCTGGTCAAAGTTGTGCTGTCTGGGCCAGAGCGGGGATGCGACCAAGCCCTGAGGACGCCTCCGTGGCCCCGGGCTCGCCCGGTGTCTCACCCGGCGCTTCAGGCTCGAGCAAGGGGTCGCTGAGGCCTCACAGGCGGCGCGAAGGACAGAGCCAGGAGGTCTGCTCCTGCCCCTGCCCTGGCCTTCTGGGTGACGCTCAGCCAGACGCTTTGCTTCCTGTGTCTGTCACCCTCCTGGGGACAGCACGGCTCTTGCGCAAGCGGGCTTTCCGGGGCCTCGAGAGACCCGACTCCGGCTGCAGCGCGCAGTGGCGGGGCGGAAGGGACGCTGCCAAGGCTTTGTTCCTGATGCGCTGGTGTGAGCCAGGCAGGTGGGCAGGTTATTCTTGGATCCTGGTACCTCTCTTAGCACGTGTCTTCTCAAGCTGCAATTTAAACTGCTGCTTCGCTGCACTCTGGGAATCCGTGGAAAACGGAAACAAAAGCTGGGGGCAGCAGTTCCAGCAAACGGTCTCGTGTCTTACTTACATAGCCTGTAGTTCAATGCCTGCAATTAATAAGCTGCTTGATAACAAGCACATTTCCATTTCAAAAGGTTCCCCCATTGTCATTTATTCTTGGAAGTGTTAATTATCCTGAAGCTGTGTGACAGCCCTGGATAAATGGGCCCTTTCCATATTTAATAACTGGCTCCTCAGGGTGACTCTTTTCTAACCTCGTTTGGTAGAAGCAAAAGAAATGCATTAAACTGAAAAGAGGACAGGAGAAAGCTCCTGTTTTCGTCTTGTAATGCTTGTGTTCAAGAAGAAAAAAAACAAAAAAAGATTTTGACTACGTATAGGGACCAGATGAGACAGTCACTGTGATATTTGTTTCCCAGAGTGCTTTTGTGGAGCAGAACAGTTTAAATGCTCATCCGGTTCTGTCAGTGGTAGGACCTGTGGGGGTTTGTTTGTGGGTCAGGAGCTCTGCACTCTTTTGTGTTCAGCGTGATTTATTGTGATCTGGGTAACGTGAAGAAGCCAGCGCTTACTGCCGAAATTCCTTCGGTCCCAAGTTAGACAGGACAAGAAGAGACAGGACAAGAAGAGGAATCTGTCAGCCAGAAGGGTAACGAAGAGGAGAGATCTTGCAGGCAAGCCGCCCTGCTGACCGGAGGACAAGGCTTTGCCTACGCCGGGCTCAGAGGGATGTGCACTAGGACGACCTCTTGGGTTAGTGCACGCTGTTTCTGCCGGAGCAAGAGGTTAGCCCTCCAGGCAGCCGTGAAACAGCGACTTCCCGGAGGTTACTGTAGCAGCTGCTGCTTCAATTTGCCTAGAGGGAGGCTCTTACCCCAAAGATGACTTGAAATTCACAGTTTGCTAGAGCTGGTCTCAGTGGTCCAGGCTAGAGGGAGCCTAGGAGACTTCCCAGGGCTCCTGCCATGCTCAGGGTAACACAGCCTCGCGTGTGCGCTGAGGCAAAGTGGATGTGAGGCACCCTCAAAGGAGGGTGTTCAGCACTGCTGCAAAGCAGTCTCCAAACCGGCAGGGCAGGATGTGTTCGTGGGCCTGGAGCTGAGAATCTGTGCCCCTGCTCAGTCTGCTTGAATGTGAGATGAAGGGAAGCTGAGGGGATTGCCTGAGCTGGTTGCAGAACAGCTCCGAGGGATCTGAAGGAATTTCACAGGCAGGCACTGTAGCTTTTTCCTTTGCATGTTACTAACCTTAATTTTTTTTAAAAAAACTCATTTTTCTTTTCTTTCTGTCTTTGTTGCTATTTTTTCCCCCTGCACTCCACTTGGTGTTTCGCTCTCGCTCTCTGCATGATGCAGGACGGGGCTCTTCACGCCCGACATGGCCTTTGAAGCCATAGTGAAAAAACAGATTGTAAAGCTTAAAGAGCCCAGTTTGAAGTGTGTTGATCTGGTGGTCTCAGAGCTGGCCACAGTCATTAAAAAGTGTGCCGAAAAGGTAATGGGTTTTAATTCATCCCTCTTTATCTAATCTGAACATCTGGAATATATTTGCTCTCAGGACCCAGCTGACCAAAGTGAGTTTGACAGCGAGGTTGCTGCTAATCTGGGGGGACGCTGCATCCTTCTGACGCCTGAACACTTGCTGGAAGCGCCAGCAGATACAGTCATAGCGTTAACTTGGCTTCGCGGCATGGGTCCTGCCGAGACATATTGCACAGGTGTTTGCTCGCCCCCGTAACAGTAAAGGCTAAAAATGCTCCTAGCGTAGCTGAGGCCTTGCATTGCTGAGAACCCACCTCCTTTGCCTTGCTTAGCAGTAGCTCGCGCTTCATGCCGTGAAAATCTGGATCTGCTTAGCCGTGGGTCTGAGGGCGGGAAGAGAACTTAATTCATATGTTAAGCATGCTTCTCAGGCCCCCAGGAGGGCGTTCTGCTGTCTTGTCGGATCTAGTGAAGAGAATCACCTCTGTTGCTTTTTCCATCTCTGAGCCCCAGTTGTGTCCTACAGACGGAACTGGGGCTCGATCCCTTCTGTCCTCCTCTGCCTTTGTGAGTGTGTTTTGTGGCTAGCTTTCTGTGGTAAGCGCTGGAGGCTGCCGCAGTCTGATCAGCAGCGGTTTTCCCTGGCCTTCTCCCTCTCTTTTCAGCTTGGTTCCTACCCCAGGTTACGAGAGGAGACGGAGAGGATCGTTACCACTCACATCAGGGAACGGGAAGGCAAAACGAAGGACCAGGTGAGCACCTTTCCAGGCTCACCCCACCATCTTCCTTCGCGTTTGTAGAAAGCCAGGAGAAAGCGGAGCTGTTTGCTGCTCCTCCTCTGAGGACAAAGCAAATCCTGCCTGTGCGGGCAGCCCGCAGTTGGACCGGCCACCCGGCTGCTCCCCGCTCGCAGTCCCAAAGCTCCCTCTCGCGGCAGCGATGCAGAGCGCCGCAGGTCTGGCATCTCTGTCCAGGCCGGTGCGGTCACGGGTGGCCCCTGAGCACGGCCACGTCCCTTGGGGCTCTGTGGCAACTCTTCCTGAGCAGTGCTAGAGCCAGAGGTGGCCAGCTGTTCCTGTGGGACTCCTGACTTGTAAATCTCTTTCCAGATTCTCCTGCTGATTGACATTGAGCTCTCCTACATCAACACTAACCACGAAGACTTTATTGGATTTGCCAAGTAGGTAACTGGCCAGTGGGGTGGGGTTTTTATCAAATTCTTTTATAAATGAGGTTCACGGTCCTATCCCCAGTTTGCAGATGAGGTGTGTGGGATGTTAAATTACCCTTTCGGAGTCACCGATGGGACAACTGGTGGAAGAGTCTCCCAAGTGCCAGCATTATCCACGAAAACCATGTCAGTGCCTCCTGCACCTGAGTTCAAGCAATTCTGGAGGCCTGTGAGATTTGCACAGGAGCTCCCCTTCTTTGCTTGTTACCTGATGTAGGGCCTGAAGATCTGAGCTGCCCCGCATCATTCCTTTGCTTCAGATATTAGCCTGAAGCAGGGTTTGTTAAGACTGCTTGTTACAGCAGAGCGCGTGAAAAACTGGAGTCAGGTTGTTCAGCCTGGTGCCGATGAGCTAGAACTGCTTAGGGCCTTCTCACAGGAGTGCTTGTGATGAATTCAAGTAATTAAGGCTGTCGCTACCCTTCAGCTGAGAGGTGGGAATTTTCCGTGCCCCCTGGCCGCACTAAGGGAAAGCGAAATGACTCCTCTTTGTGTCCCAGTGGAGCTGCTGGACTTACACGTCGGCTGCTGTCCCTGGGCTGGAGCAGGAACGTCTGCACGTTCTTCGAGCTCATCCCTCGTAATCGTCTGCCCAAGCAGGCAGGGCCGGGAACAGAGAAGGGCTGAGGGGAGGGGGTCTCTTCTGTCAGTCTGTCTTTCTTCAGCTTTGGCCTTTTGCCCGAGGACACCAGGGTCACTTGTGTTTTCCGTGAGCCCGGTCCCTATCTCTGAGAACCTTTGGGAGCTGCCAAGAGGTCTAGCTCAGGTGTCCCTGCGAAGAAAGAGCCAAGGCATGCAGCTCTGCCCTGGGCTAGTCACGCTCTTTGTAGCACCAGTCAAAGCCCGCACCGCTTCCTTCTCTTTAAGTTCACTTATTCTTCCTCTATTTTCTTTTTCTCCCCTCTTTTTTATGTCTCTGCGTTTCACATTCATTCACAGTTCCTTCCTCTTCTCCTAATCTCTCCTGTTTTTCCTTTGAACCATCTCCCTCTTTCCTCTGGACTCCTCTGAAACTCTCCCACTCCCCAGCTGTTACACTGAGCAGCACTTGACGACAGGGTGGGTACCGGCTGAAACAGTATGTAACGAGTGACGGGACAGCCCTGCTTGCACCTTCCCCTCCCCGCAGGCTGAAGGGGTGTTTGATAGAGGTGGAGAGGCCTCCACCAGGCTGAGCTTTGCAGTGCTCCTGCAGTGAAGTTCAGCGAAGTGAGAGCTTCTCGCATCCAAGATGAGAGCAGGAGCTGTTGCACTGGGTCAGACCAGGCATCGGGCTCGCCTTGTTTTCTCAGACCAGGCTGGGGTTTAGAGAGGAGCGTAAGGAACAGGGCAGGTAAAGAGCGATCTTTCCTCAGTCCATGCTCCCAGATTCCCTCAGGTGGCAGGTTAGGAACATCCTGGGCTGGAGGGACGGTGGCTGCTGTGAACGTGGTTCTGCAGCGACCTTCCCCAGAGAACCAACCCCATTTTTGCTTGTAAACTGCTTTTCCATGGGGCGTCCTGGCATTATTCTAACTGTTTTCATGGATTTTGTTCCTGCTCCTGACTAATGGTTACGTCCCGCACCTCGCCCCTCGTCTCTTTGGTTGCTCAGGAGAGACAGGTAGCTTTCCCTCTGGTGCAGGTACGCTCTTTTCCGACCTGGGGGGGACTAGAAGGCTGCAAGCGGGTTCTGGAGACAAGTCCTTCCGGTTATCTACCTTCCGGTGGCAGGGAGAGTTGGGTGTATTGGCTTGGCTGGGTTGATGAGTTCAACTCCCTGAGCTCTTTGTCCTCTATGGCCTTTTGAATTAGCAAACACTGCTGATCTGCTTGTTTTTTCCTCTCCTGCAAGTTGTAACTTTGTCCTTGTGGAACACGTGGGGAGTGTAAATAGCCCGTGTGCCTGGAGATAAGGACTGTAAGGAAGGTGATAAAGCTGTCCAGGTTGGAAAGCCTCATCCCTTGGTACTGCTGTCTCGTGTACATTCAGTCCTGGACAAAACTCTGGAAAGGTCTCCTCTGTCTGCATTGCAATGCACAATAACAATAATGAGTAAAAAGTAGTCCAGATGCTCTTGGCTGAATTCCACGTGATGGGCTACCCCTTTGGACTCAGCTCTTCCTTACAGCACTCCTCATGGCCCCGGTGGGAAGCGTGTTACCTCAAGGGTCCATGTGGCCCCTAGGTAAACGGTGTGACTCAGTCTCTGTGGCTGCGTGGGCTCTGAGCGCTTGCCGCTTGCTTTGTGTTCTCCACATAAAGCTGTGTGTGCTCTTTTCTTATTTCAGTGCACAGCAAAGGAACACCCAGACGAACAAGAAAAGAGCCATCCCGAATCAGGTATAGCCTGGCAACTCCGCGGTCTCCCTCGTAGCGTGGGGCAGAGGTAGCTGTCTAGGCTTGGATCCCGCTCCAACCACGCTTCAGAGCAACCCAAGAGCTGCGTTTTGCAGTTCGGAAAGCTGGATTTGGGTCGATCCACAAACTCCCTCCTTGAGAGAAAGAGATATTTGACACTGGGGTTGCAGACAGGAAACACAGAGCTCTGACTCATGGGGTGGGAGCATTTGCTCCAGAGGAGCTCATCTAAAAGTAGTGGGATTGGGACAGCTGGGCAACGTGCACCGCTGGAGGAGCCCTGTGTCCTCAGAAGTGAGCGAGTCTGGGCAGGGGCTAGCGTAACTTCCCCGTCCTGGCCCCTTTATTTATTGCAAACTAGCTGTTTGGGGAGGGGGCAGAGGGAGCGGGGACCAAGACTAGCACAGGGACGTACCTGGCAGCCGTGTTGGCCTCAGTTCTGTCTCGTCATGCAGCCTTCCAGTTCTGAGAGGGATGTCTGCTATCTAGTGTGCATGACTGAGAGCAGGACTGGAAATGCCCCCTTGCATGGTGTTAGGTCTTGCAGTACGTAATACAGACATTGCCTCTTGTTTGGAAAGATTGTAATGAAATATTAACACTGTAAAATTATAATTAATAGCATGTAACTGTTTTTCTTTTGCTGTTTTTCTGCTTTTTCCTACCATTTTTTGTGCTTCCTGCTCTCTTCTTCTTTCCATCACTTTGTTTTTCTTGACTGTTCTGTCTCCTTGTCCTGCTTTTTTTTTCCCCCCCTTAATTTTGCGCACCTAAAGGGTGAGATACTGGTAAGTACCCATATAGCGTGATAGTGCTGATAGACAACACCCAGTGATGGACGTGGCCCTGCCAGAAAGAACTTCCAATGCTAAAATAAAGCCTCTCGCCTCACAGAATTGAGTATGCTGACGGCAGAGGAAGAGTAGGATTCCCAGAGCAGAGTTACTGGGCTTTATGGGCTTAGTCTAGAGACGGAAACTCCCTCTATTCCCCTTATCCCCCTGTGTGGTCTCTTCCCACGGCCCCAGCACAGTCCTCGTGAGCTGAGAAAACGGGCTTAGGGCTCATGACTGTGTGTGCCGTGACAATCGCACTGTGAACGGAGGCTCAGCAATACTGCTGTTTGGCATCTGTGTGTACTTGCTGGGAACAGGTATAGGAAGAGTCGGGTCCTGGGGTTCGGGGTTTAGGTATGGGCTATGCTGGGAGCTGGGACACAGGGAGCCAAAATCTTGGTGCTGCTGGGTTTGACAGGGCTGGACCCTCTTAGCGCAGAACCTCCCGCAGCCGTCGTGGGATGTGGTTCCCGTCGAGTCGCAGCACAGGCTCGAGCGAGGCGAGTGCTTCGGCGGGGAGCCCTCTGCCCGCGGCTCCGTCCGCGTGGCTGGTGGTTTGGGCACGCACAACTGGGAGGAACTTGCTCCCCTGTTCACAGCAGCCGCTGCCAGTGGGGATGGAAGTGTTTTATTCCCCTCCATTTCCAAGCTGCCTTTTGGGCTTGTGAGGTTGGGTCCCAGCTGCGGGCTGGCCACCAGCACTGCTGCTGAGTTCAGCCAGCCACTGTGCCAGACCACTGCACGGCTGGTGTGGAAACCCTGTGTGGTCTCTAGCAAGAAGCCCTCTTCTTCCTAGGTGCCTACCAGACATCGTTAGCAGTTGTGCCCTGGTGGGGGAGGCAAACCTTGTGTAGCCCATCTGCTGCTTTAAACCTCATCGTTCAGGCAGCAGAGAGAGCTTTTCCTTCAAGCGTACTCACTTCTGGGGAGGCAGAAGGCAACGTTCCCTCCAAAAGGAAAACTTTCCCTTTTAGTGGTCAAGCAATACCCTCTGGAGGCAGTGGGCTGGGTGGAGGGGTCCTGACCCCGCTGCTCCGGGCTTGGAGTTCGCTTTTACATGTGCAGTCCAAGAAAATAGAAGTGTCTGATACGGAAGCAGTCTCCAAACTCCTGGCTGGGGCTTTCCTTCAAAGAGCCTCCCATCTCCTCGTGGGCCACGGTTGAGGTATTGCCTCGGTCCATCAGCGACTGCCCCCGCGGTCCGTCCCTGGCCACGCATCTGAATCCCTCATTCGTGAAGGAAGCTAGGGTACCACTTCCAAGGAAGATAATTTGGCTCCGGCCGCTGGGGATTGGTGTTGGGCTGATAGATGAAGCAAGGTGGCTGGATTACCCTGCAGACGAAGTTTCCCGGAGCCAGGTACCTTTCTTACCTGCTGCTTTTTAACCAGTTGAGCAGAGTCCTGTGAAGAAGTGTCTGTAACTCGAGTACAATATACTTTCTGGTCTCAAAAATGAGTTTTATGAAACCGCTCAAATAACTCAGTTACAGTGAAAAGAGTAGCAAGAGGGATGTAGTGCTGGTGAGGCAGTCGCCCTGCCGTAGTGCCGGCAGCGTCTGCCCAGCTCTTCCAGGGAAGCTTATACGTTTTGCTCTGTTAAACCCTGTGACTTGCCCAACCACATCCGCAGCTAACTTGAATTGTCACTCTGAGAGTCTTTGAGGGCCCCATGCCTATTTCCCGTCTCTTCCAAGTGTTCAGACACTTCCATTTTCTTTTAGCACCATCCAGATGTTTCTGCGAAACAAAGGAATCCTCCCAGGGGCCCGTCTGTTGCCTTCCACATGATGATTAGTTCTGTGCAAGGCTGCTCTTCCATCACTGGCTGTGAGAACGTGATTGTGCCGGGCGACGGGAAGGTGGCGATCTGACAATTAAGGATTCCAGGCGCCAGCCCCGCAACGGGCTGCTTCTGATTCGGAACCGGGCAAAGCCGTAGGCTGTCGCTGCGCTCTGGAGTGCCTCTGCAGGGCCAGCTTGCCTGGGTTGCCAGCCCTAAAACCATCGAGATGCTCTCACTCATCAGTCAGTCTTAAAGGAACTTTCTTCCGGGCTCTCTGCTGTGCTGCTTGGTGCCACGCAGTCTGGCTCAGCCTCCCTCTCTCCTCCCCCTTGACCTGGGTTACATGTGCTTGATGCATTTGTGATTAGAGTAAGAGGAGTCCCAGGTCCTGCTGCAAGCCAGTGCACAACTGGGATGTCTCTGGCTCTGGAGGGTGCCCTCCCCTCCTTTACCCTTTAACTAAAGACATCAAATCTTGGTTTTTTCTTCTTTCTTAGTTCTCCAGCTCCCTCTATGCTACAGCCTTGGCCCTCTCCCCCCTCTACCATAAAAGGCAGAGTCCCTCTTCCTTGTAATTCCCTCCACAGCTGCCCCGAACCTGCCGGAGCCTCTAACCTGCCTCCCAAGACAGCAGCTTCTTGCTTTGCTGCTGAGCCTTTTCCCTGTGCCCCTTCCTCGGCTTTGATCCTCTCATCTGCTCTATCTCCACCCTCCTGCTCTGTTCCTTTAAAACCAAATTCGGTTCCAATTCAGAGAGATTTTTTTAAAATGTGAATTGGGCTCTCAAACGCACAAGAGCCTGGAGAGAGCGAATCAGAAGGTGAAATCTTTAAATTGACAACTTCTGCCATCTTAATTTCAGGGCTCCTCCCTTCCCCTCGCCAGAAGATCTGTATGAGTTAAGTTTTAGCTCTAGCTGCCTGCACCCGCTAGTGCACCGAGCTTTGCGTGTGCGTAACAGACAGGATTTTGTCGTGGCTTTTATGTTGGCAGCTACCTGAGCAGCCTGAAAACGAGAATGGCCCTAGCGTGATCCCGTGGTAGGTTCCCCAAGCAGCGCACAGAAAACCCGCAGCATGAAAGGGCTGACGCTGGCTCCTTTTCACACACTAATTCACAATTTCTGATGTCAAGATTAAAGGCCTGCCTGGGTCTCTCTGTCACAGCTGCTCAGAGGTGGTTCCTGGTACAAGCCATAACAAACTCCGAACCTGGTTCGTGTCTAACTCTTCTCTGCCTAACCACGAGGGTTATTTGTTTCCCTCCAATCCATGCTTTGGACTGACTTGAATCAACCTCCCTCAACACGTGCAGAGTGTGTTTTTTTTTCCCCCACCCCCACCGTCTGCCCATTACTAACCTGTGTGGTGGTACTAACGCCTGTGAAGCTATGGGGTAGAAAGGCTGCGGCTCGCGGGCGCCCGCGCTCTGCGGTGCCGGCGCGCAGAGGCTAAGGGCCGAGGCCTCTCTGAAGGTAGCCAAAGGCCATCTCAGTCGCGGGCTTTGCAGAGCTGCCACCGACGCGCTGCTGCGGGATGCTCAGCGCGGAGCGTCTAAAGCAGCCCATGGTGCAAGATGCTGTTTCCATACTAGGAAGATGGTCATGCCCTGATGTGCACGGGTGTTAGCACTGTTGAAAGCAAGATTTTTAGGTGTTGTAGCACCTCCGAGCTTGGCTGGATGTGTTGGTCTGTGAGGAGCGGGGCTTGGTGGACAGTCCTCTTTCCGTGCTGGTTTCTGGTAGGAGTCGGTTTTGCTGTTGATCACGCGGCAGCTCCTGCCCCAGGGAGATTTGACTCTGGCCAGGTTTCCTCTTAGGAGCAGACAGCTTCCTGGCATCTGGGTCACCTCGCTGCCTCGAGAGGAGAATCTGTGCTAGACTGGGTGACATGGCAGAAAGCCCGGCTCGGAGGGCCTCCGTTGCCACGTCTACCTGGGAGCAGGTTGTTTGCAAACAGACGGGCATCAGCTGGAAGAGCAGCACGATCTCGCGGCAGAGCATCAGTTCTCAGAGCACCAAGCGGTGGGTGTAGGAGCTCGGCAGTAAAACCGCAGGGGCGATGGCTAGAAGAATGCAGCTCCCCTACAGCCCCAGTAGGGACAGAGACTAGCTCAATCTGAAGGCTTCTGCTCTCGTCCTGGGGTCTGTAACAAGCAGCAGTGACCTTCCTTTTAGTACAATAGCTACCAGAACAATGGAGGAACCCCACTGGGCAGAGAGCAATGATGCCTTCGTTTGAAAGGCTGGAAAACTCCCAGCCTGTCCCAAAGGTCTGAGCTGTGAAGCTGATGGACGTAAATCTGCTGCCGCTCTGGTGGGGGCCATCGGGAGCACGCTGGGCCGAGCCGTCCTGCTTGGCTGAGCAGCGTGCTGCTCATTCGCCCCGGGCGCTCGTCTCCAAACAGGCCCTGGATTGCCTGCAGTAGAGGCCAGGAGTGATTCCAGCTTCTAGCAATGTCTCTGTGGCCCGCTCTCATGGCTGTGAGCAGTTTTTGGTAGTTCGGTGTTTTCTAACAGACAGACCCTGAGAGATCCCTGCGGAGATTTTGCTTTGGCTAAGGTGCAGTGAGTGGCCGTAGGCATGAAGTTGTTCTGCACGGACTTGAGGAAATTATTGCAGGCTCAGGCGAGTGGCCCCCCTCTCGCTCTGATGGTGCCACGTCAGGTGCCCGATAGCCCAGCGAGGGCTCTGCTGCCGGCCACTCGTGTCGTGTCGCTGATGCTGGAGCCTCCTTACCGTGTGTCTTTGCGGCAGGCCCGCAGCCCCCGGGACCGCACGGCCCGTAGGCGCGGGGCCCCGCTCCCGAATCACACGAGCTTTCTCGCTACCGGTGCTGGGAGGGAGCGTGCTACCGGAAACGCTTCCGCCTGCCTCGGAGCAGCCAGCTGCGGTGCAGACCTCCCGATAACGCAGCGCTCGCTTATTGTTTCGTGAAAAACTGCCGCTTGCAACGTAAGGCTTTGGCAATACTGCTTCGGTGCGCTGCTGCCCCCCGTGCCGTTGGCTACTGTTTCGTGTTGCATGTTAGATCCCGTCCGTGGGGCTATGAGGGAGCCGTCCGCGAGGAGCGAGGAGCTCGGAGCTCGGGAAGACCTGCCGGCTAGGCCAGCCTGCGAGAAGGCAGAGGAGCTGCCTCCTGGCAGGGAGGTTGATTTGGGGTTGGGAACAACGTACGAGGAGGGGAGCGGGTTTGGGCAAGAAATGGGGGATTCCCCAGGTCTAGCTAGGCTGAGGGCTGTCTTGGCTGTACTCAGCGAGGGCACGTGGTCACGGAGGCTCTGAGCAGAACGGGGAAGGGGAGGACTGCTCTGATAGTTACTGGACTGGGTAAGTTGGCGGACATTGCTACTGGGAACGTGCCCCAGCTGACTGGGCTTGTTTAGTTTCCCGATAACTTTTTGGTCTTGCTAGTAGGCAGCATGACAGCGGCTTTGAAGCAGTCGGGATGAAGGCCCACATCTGCCTTCCCTCCAAGACGCTGCTCCCCGAGCGAGGTTTCCGGCACACCCGCGCTGCGCGTGCCAGCGGGATCGCTGGGTTGTAGTGCCGCAGCCTGTCTGCGGGACAGACGAGAGCCAGAACCTCTGTTCGGGATCCCCCGAAGCAGCCCTCTGCTTTTCTGGGTTTCGTGGTCTAACTGGAGGCGCAACGGAGACGGTGACGCCCCTGGGCAGTTCTGGTCCTCTCTTAAAAACAAGACGTGCTCTGAATTGCTGGCTGCCTTACCCCTTTGGGGTGTTGGGAGCTTTTGCTCTTCATCAGCTCTCCGGCCTAGAAGCGAGGCTGCTGGCTGGCTAATCGGACGGCACCAGCGGTGAAGGGCAGGGGATCGCTGCTTTTCTCACCCAGGGACCCGAGGGAGCTGCAGACCTCGCTCCACATGCTGGTAGCTTACGTTTGAGGTGGGGCCTAGAAATCTGCCTGGTTAAGGGTCTTCTGCTGAGGCTAGAGCTTTCTGTGGTGGGTTAGGTGGACTCTTGGGCTGAGGAGTGCTTCCCCTTGCTCTCTGTTTGGGGAATTCCTCCAGAGACTCCACGGTCGCCTGTAACCTCTTTTTCCTTCCTCCTCCTCCTCCCTCCGTTTCCCCCCACGCTCCTCTCTCTCCAGGTGATCCGCAGGGGCTGGCTGACCATTAACAACATCAGCATCATGAAGGGAGGCTCCAAGGAGTACTGGTTTGTGCTGACGGCAGAGTCGTTGTCCTGGTACAAGGATGAGGAGGTACGTGCAGGGGGGAAGGACGGGTTTGGGGGGAGGTTCTGTGGTTCCTGAGTCTCGTGAGCTGTTGCATGAGAAAAATCCTACCTGGAGTCTCCAGCTATGGTGGGAACAAGGGTTATTTCTCCCAGTATTGGTCCCAGCCCTTTTTCCTGGATTTAAAAAAAAAAAAAAAAAAAAGGGGTGCCTGCAGTAGAGATACCAGTGCTGGGGATGGGAGAAACCTGTGAATTAGCTCCAGGGCCTGAGTCTTGCCATCTCCCAGTGTGCAGGAGTGTAGACATCCTCTGGAGGGTGCCCTTCCGACGCTGAGCTCCATCCTAGCCAGCAAATTCCATGTCTCCAGACACTCCCCCGGACCTCCGGATTGTGTAAACATAGATAAACCGGGAGACACTGGCAAGTGGGGGTCGTACAGGATCCAGCTGCCTGCGCCTGGCTGAGCCCCGGGGGTGGCCGCGCAGCTCAGGCACCCTCTGCGCCCTGCCTGTTTCGGGAAGGCTTTTTTTATTTGTGGTTGAACTGTTGTTTTAAGATCTGCCACACCTCAGGCAGCAAGAAAGAGCAGGGCCCTTCCTCTAGCCGAACCCGTTACCGCCCTGAGTACTCTTCAGGCACCGGCTTTTGCCAGAGCGGTGGGCTTGCACCCCGGCAGCCCCCGTGTTAACGCTGGCCGCCTCGGTGGCCGCCCTGCACCCAGGCCATAGATCAGGGCTGATAACAAATCCGAAGGAGGGTTTCTCATAACCCGCGTCGGAAGCAGATTCCCAGGTTTAACCATCGCAGCGCGGGGCCGGTGCAAAGCCGGGGGAGCAAGGCGGGTGGAGCGGTTTCCTCCCAGTGAACCTGGCCAGGAGAGCAACTAGCTCGGTTCTGTCTCGAGGGAAGGAAAGCCACCAGCGCTGGCTTGAATCTGGGTGAAGGGAAACTTTCCTCTCTGTCTGACCCGGTGGGACTATTGGTTTATCGTCCCCACCCCCGAGGCCCCCCCACCTTTCGCTGGGGGGTCGCCGCGCTGTTCGTGCCTCGGCCCCGAGCCTTGCCTCCGTCGCAGCGCCTGCTCGGCGCTCGGACGGGAGCTGCTGACGGGTTAACGCCCCGGCGCTGGGGTGGAGCTGCTGCGGCCCAGGATGCGCCGCTGCTAGCGGGAAAAGGCTTGAAGTTCAGAGGGAAAC